AGAGCATCATCAGTACCCGCACTCGTTATGGCGAGTGCGGTCTCAAAGTCAGTAAGCACATCACAGTAATCTATGTCATCATGCAAATGAGAATGCTTCCCATTCTCAGACACAGAAAAAGTAGCCTGCTCATCACCAGCACGCAGAATCAATTTACCACTATGCACATCAATAAGTGCCTTGGCGGTGGCGAGAAACGGTCTACCCAAAATCAAAGGCACATCCACATCCTCATTTATATCCAAAATAACAAAATCAACAGGATATGTGAATGCACCAACATTAACAAGCAAGTCCTCAATGATACCCCTAGGATGCACGATAGAACGATCAGCTAACTGAATGCTCATCCTAGTAGCTCTAGGTTCACCTAAGTCTAGCTTCTTAAACAATCTATAAGGCATGACGTTAATGCTAGCGCCTAGGTCCGCCAAGGACTTTCCTACATGCATGCTGCCAATAACAAGAGGGATAGTGAAACTCCCTGGGTCTTTGCGCTTCTCTGGCAGCTTGTTCTGCAGGATGGCAGAACACTTCTCGCTGAGCATCACTGTCGAAAGATCCCCAAGTTTCTTTTTGTTGGTGAGGAGGTCTTTCATGAACTTGGCATACTTGGGCATCTTCGACAGTGCCTCCACGAATGGCATGCTGATGTTAACCTGCTTCAACATTGCCATGAACTTGGCAAACTCTGTCTCCAGCTTGTCTTTATGAAGTCGAGTGGGGAAGGGCAGCTGGGGTGTATGCTCCTTAACCACAGGTTGCGGCTTTGGAGCAGGTGCTGTGCTGCCTTCCCCCACCGCTGCAGTATCAGCTGGAGGTGTTGAAGCAGGTAGTGGGTCGTCTCTCCTGGGCTGGGCAGGAGCAGCAGATGTAGTCTTGCCACTCCTGGTGGTGATGGCGTGTGCGGTCTCATGCGGGTCCCGTGGATTGGGGATGGTGGCGGCAGGCAGAGTCCCCGGTGCCCTGGTAGTGTTCTGGCGAGCTAGGCTCCCAATCTGATTCTGTAGATCTTGCAGAATGGCACCTTGGTTCCTCTGGCCTGCCTCCAGTGAGGCTATGTTCTGATCCATCCTTGTGAAGTTCGCCTGACTGGTGGTCATGAAAGCCTGCAAAATATTCTTCAGATCAGACATCTGAGTATCTGGAGCTGCAGCTGCTGGAGGCTAAGCAAACTGGCGCTGGGGCTGCTGGAATGGCTGCCCTTGCCTAGGCTGGTAGGGCTGCTGCTGTGGTGGTGGCCCTTGCCTAGCCTGGAAGGGCTGCCTCTGCTGAAAACCACCTGCTGGTGCTGGAAACCCAGGTGGCTTGTTGGTGTTGCTTCCCCAGGCAAAGTTGGGATGCTGGCGCCATCCCTCGTTATAGGTACTGCTGTAAGGATCCAGGCGCCGAGCATTTGCTATGAAGTCCACCTGCTCTTGGGGAGTAGAAGACTCCCTCATAGACTGACAATCCTCCACCAGGTGATTCGGGCTCTCACACCACTGGCACTGAGCTACTGGAGGCGGAGCTACACCTCGGCCCGGAAGGAGACTGTTAGGCTGCTTCAATGTCTGCACCAACTCAGCCACCTGCTGCTCTAACCCGGACCTGGCCTCCATAGCATGCACACCACGGTCCCGGGAATGCCTGCCTCTGCTGCTCTACCCCCAGGAATGATCGCGGGCAGCCAAGGTACTGATCATCTGGTTCAGCTCGGGTGGAGTCTTAGTAAGGATATCCCTCCTGGGCATAGAGACTCGATCACCCTCTGGCTGTCTAGGGTGAGGGCACTGTAGAAGTTCCCCACTGTGAAAGCATCGCTGAAGCCATGATGGGGACACTGCCAGAAGTATCCCATGTACCGCTCCCATGCATCACGAAGGGACTCATCTGGCTCTTGGCGGAAGTGAGTGATCTCCCGCTGAATCTCAGTAGTCTTCGATGCCGGATAATATCTGTGCACGAACTTATCCGCCAGATCGTCCCAAGAAGTGATGGACAGTGGGGGCTGGGTCTCCAACCACCTCTTAGCATTCCCCGCCAGAGAATGGGGGAAGAGGTGAAGGCGGATTGCGTCATCCGGAACACCATTCAGCTTGAACCCGTTCGTCAGCTGCAGAAAACGGGAAAGGTGTGCCCGGGCCTCCTCATCCTTCAAACCATGGAACTGGATAGATGATGTAATGAGTTGAATCCAGCATGGCTTGATCTCGAGGTTGTTTGCTGGGATGGGTGGATAGAGGATGACCGGGCGGATGTCAGCAATCCGTGGAGTGTAGTAGTACTCCAAGGTGGGACCCGGCGGTGGTGGTGGATGCTGATTCACCGGGGGAGTACTCCAAGGTCGGGCATTCCCCGGTTGTGGGATGTCTTCGCCCTCCATCTCGCGCTCGTCCTCGGATTCGCTGCTCAATTGGCCGTCTCTGTACTCCACCGTAGCCAGTCTAGCTCGCTGTTGTCTCCGAAGTTGGTTGCAGGTGCGTTCAATCTCTGGATCCAACGGCAGTAAACCTCCCGACTGGCTACGGGTCATGCACTATCTGCACACAATCAAGCAATGCAAACCCGTGAAGGCACAAGTGGGAAAGAACAAAAACTCACTGCGAAAATGAAAATGCTAGAGTAACAGAAATCACTTTTCTTCAACAACCTAGCCGTCCCCGGCAACGGCGCCAAAAACTTGACTCACTCCTACTGTCACTCTAGAAAATGGCCAAGTGTAACCACTTCCTAAAGCGTAGTATAGCGGGTTTGGGTTTCAATGTCAACCCGGGTCCTAGATGTGATGACTACTCGGTGAATTCGTATTATCTAGCAATGAAACTTTAGTGAAGGTCTAAACTAACAAGCAAGCAAAGCAAGTAAACGGTTGTTTTCAGGTTAAGAGAGGTCACCCGGATATGGTTCCCCCTAGTCTGCAGTTAAGCCAGATTGTAATTACCAAGTTCAATTTCTATGATAGTTATACTGCGGAAGGTTCTCAAACAGTCTGAAGTCTCGACTAAAGGTCTTCAGACCCTCTCAATCTGAGTCTCTAGCGGGCGACTAACCTCCACCGGAGTAAACAGATTGAGGCCCTAAGAACAAAACCTCCACTACTGGAGTAAAACCGGTACAGAATAGTGAGTTGGTTCCTCGACTAAAGTCACCAACTCCCTACCTTCAATCAAGGATGCTCTATCAACCTAGTCAGATATTCTCATTCTAGGTTAAAGCAGAAACAACAGGAATTTGATCAGGATTCAAGTCATTCAATCATTCAAACCTCAATCGAATATAATCAAATCATAGAAACAGTACTTGGGTTCATACAATCAATCCCAACATACAGAACTAGGGTTTCCCACACCCAGATGAATGGGAGAACTACTCCATGGAGAAAGAAGCAAAAGCAGAATCAGACGCGGAAATCATACTGTGAAGATGGATTTCTGCTCCTGGACGTTGAATCGGCACTTCTCCAAGCTCAAACCAAGCTCCAATGGTGTTGAAGATCGATCTAGGGCACTTGGAGACTCTTGTTCGTCGCTTTCTCTCTCTAGGAATCGCTCTGTCTCTCTAAAACTCGAATCCCCTTCTCTTTGGCTGAAAATCTGCCTAAAAGGGCATCACTGGCCAAAGCACGGTCGAGGGCACGACCGTGCTTTGCCTCAGCCCGCCCGTGTTTTGGATTTGGCTAAAAGCACGGCCACGGGCATCATGAAAACACGGGCGTGTTCTTTGCAAAACACGGCCGTGTTCTCTCTCTGACCTGCCCGTGCTTTTTAAGGTGGTTCAAACCACCCTTGGGAAGTCTCGGCCATAAAAGCACGGTCAGGAACACGGTCGTGTTCTGAGGGCCTCCTGGCCGTGTTTTGGTCCTGGCTTGTCCAAACGACTTCCAAACGATCCGAAACTCGTGCTTGGCCTTCCCTTTGACGCCTGGGACCTGAAATAGGACAAAGTAGCACAACCCGGCGTAAAATAGGCCAAAACACACAACCATGCTCCGCAAACGGATAAGAAATAGGGGTATAAAATCATGCAATTACATCATTATCAATAACTGAATGAAAACGAAAAACAATCACCGAAAGACAACTTGAATGTGGAAGGAAGTTTATCAATGCAAGCGACTGATTATGGAGAGTAGTTAGAGTCAGAGACTAACATCACGTTTGGAGATTTCATAGATGTGAGGATTCACAGAGGGATGTAAGCTTGTACTGATTAATGTGCTTGGATTAGGAGGATTCTTATAAGATGAGTCGAATTTAGAAGAGATGAGAGAGCCATTCTCTCTCAATGTAAAAAATACATTGAGAGAGAAGAGAATACACAATCAAAAGAAAGTTCAATAACGATTCTATCACATTTCATATAGTTCGGTAACTAGTTAAGTAATTACCCCTATATGTACAATCAAACTACTCATACATTTTCGCAACCCCACCCCAAATCTCACGCCCCACGTAACAAAGCGTTCACATTTAGAAGACCCAACAAGGGGGAAAAAAGAGAGAGAAAGAAGCTCTTCCAAAGTCACCTTTTCTTTCTCCCACAATTCTTTCCATTCCAACCTCAAACACAAATACACACTCCCCCTATTTCCCTTCCCTCCCTTCCTTCCGCGCTCTCTCTCTTTCCTTCGTCCGCCTCTGGTCTCCTATTTTCCACCCAAACAACACCCACTCCGCAAACCCTCTCCCATCCCAAAACCGAAAATGAAAAATCAAACAACTCCTCCCTCCACCTCCAGACAGTGAGAAAGAGGGAAAATCGGCAGCGAAATTCCGATTTTTAATTTCCAGGGAAATAGGGCACGAAGGAAGTGGGGGCGAGTGAATCAATGAGCGGAGAGATGGTCTTCCTTTCTCTTTCCCCTTTCTTCTTCTGAACCTTGTCTTCCTTCCTTGGTCTCCCAATGGCGTAAACCTGAGTTTCTTGAAAGTTAAAACCCTTGATCCTGTACATGTAATCCCCCCTACATTAGCTTATCTTTACACTTCCGATCTCTCTGGTTTCCTCCCTAACTAACTATGTCCCGCGACCAACCATCTTCCTCCCCTCCCAACCCGATCTCTCCTTCCCAAACCCCTAAACCCGCCGACGGCGACACCAACGGCGCCGTCGCCGTTAAACCCCAGCCTTCCGACCCTGCTACTCCTACTACCTACCGTAGTAATCGACCTTCTCGCGCTTGCACGCTCCGCGCAGCTGCTAAGCTCCAGCAGCAGCAGCAGCAGCAGCAGGCTAAGCCGAAGCCCAAGAAGGACCACCGCCAGCAGCAGCAGCAGCGCCGCCGGCGGCAGGAGGAAGAGGAGGGTGAGGACCAGGAGGAAGACGACGATGACGGTGGAAGTGGGGATGAGTTGTCGCTTCATAATAAGGACCAATGTAGTAGTGGTGCTAGTAAGGTTGTGACTTCCCTGGTTGCTCCTCCAGAGCCCGCTCAATTGCCCCGGTGGAACCTCCGCTCTATGTGGGAGTTAGCTTCAGTACTCAATTTCTTGCATGTGAGATGCTCTTCTCCTTTTTGCTTTTAGTTGCTGTGGCCTTACTTAAATTTCTTCCCTTTTTTGGTCTCACTTGTCCTGTGCCCTGGTGGAATTTCGTGATTGTGACGGATGGTCTTCCTCTTGTAATTCTAGGTCTTTAGACCCTTGTTGAACATCCAAGTTGAATTCTCGGCTGAGGAGTTTGAGACTGCTCTTCTCTCACCCAATGACACATTGGGAGAGATTCATATGCCATTGTTAAAGGTTGGTGCTCTCTGTTCCGTGTATGATTTTTTACCTTTGCTTCCCTGCTAGTTCAACTTAAGCTACTTGATGCATGACTTGGATCTTATTGTTCTTTTGTTTGCAATTGGAGAAAAGTATTTTAGGTAAGGTTTGAGTCTATTCCTTTGTTGTTAAGTATTCTAAGCAAGATGGTGGACTGGAAATGTTTCACCTGTGCTAACTGAATTTGGTTTCAGCAAACAATGATATCTCACTCTCTGGGATCTTATCCATTCCGGTAGTGGATTAATTGATCAGCTGCAGTTTCTCAACTGTTGAGTTTTCTTAGAACTTAGGTGTGAGGAATTAATTTATTTGATCTCTTTGGATACTCGAAGAGGGTTACTATGTTTATGGATATTGGTTGCAATTGGCTATGGATGCCGAAGTGCATTGTGTGAATGTAGTTCCGAGCTTGGACATGGTCACTTAGGAGTTTGGCTAGATATAGGAGGTTTCAGATGAATTAGATTCATTTATCTCGAATGATGGTGGATAAGTTCTCTTGTATGGCCCAAGGTTTTGGCGATTTGCAGCTGAAGGAACGATCTTTGTAGCTGTTTGGTTAACGGAGGGATTAGCTATGCTTTATTTGGTTTGGCACAATCTGGGCGAGGGACGTGGACTGTTGCAGAATCTGGAATGATATTAGAAGTTGAAGGTGCTTACCTATGGTTAGGGTTGAGCTATTTCACTGGCATTTCAAGTCTGTTTTTAACGAAGATGCCTACTGACAGATAGGTTCTGCAACAATGATGGAACAAAAGTAGTTATTAGATAATCCTGCAATCAAACCATGGGTTTTTATTCTGATCACCCAAATGCTAATTACAGTTGGTACATATCTGGATATTATTGTCAATTGCCCTCTGATACCACACGGTTACCTATATCCAACACTGTACAGGTACCCCAAGTCCCCAGTAAAAAGAGATGTGGGCAAGTATGTAGACGCTGGTTTTGGCTTGAAGAGGTATAGCTAGACATAACTCTCGGTGAAGGAAAACTCCAAAAGGATTCCCCTCCCTAGCTGCGATGGGAATTAATGTTTAGATTTATGATGCCAGTTCTATTCTGCCAGAGCCAAATAATGTTTCTAGTCTTGTGCAGTAAGTTTTTACTGATGCATCCACATGCTATGAGCTATCTAAGAGGTCACTGGAAGTTTGGGATGCTACATATAAGTATATGATATTCCTGACACAGAGAGCACATTTCTGAACGCATTTTCACCCAAAGCTTCTATAAAACAGACAATTTCACAAGATGATGGAGATACTGCAAAAATGTACATTACTATGGTGGTAATTCTGGACAGCAAGTGACAATGCGCGATGTTTGATGCAGCTTCATGTATATCTAGTCTGGCAAAGTTTTTTCTGTGAAAATGCTAGATCTTACGAGTTCTTTGAGAATTCCTTCATTCTGGTACCATATTTACAGCTAATCTGCAAATTATTGCTGCCTGATGGGTGTCCTTGGGGACCTTCGGCATGATGGAAACTATTCTTGTGAATGGTCTGTTTATGATTGACTACCTTTGCTACTGTAGTACGAATTGTAGTACTAGGGGAACTTACTCGTAGATCTTTCTCCTACCCATTTTTTATTTAGTTTTGTGTGCAGTTGACAAGGTTGTACTGCTCCTGCTCCAAGATTGACACTTTATGCTACTTTAACCTCCTATATTGATTCCCTGTATTTACTATCGCAGGCAATACCTCCTATTACTCGGATGGCCCTTACTAGGGATACTTGGGTTACAGTTTTGTGCAGAAAACTAAGAGACTGGTGGCATTGGGTAAGTCCAGCATTTCACTCCGAACTGAACTTTGACACTCTGCACTTGACTTATGTCCTCTAGTTGCAGAATGCTAAGATGAGTGTTGTATTTGCTTGCAGGTTGCAGATGGAGATCTTCCATTAGTTGCTTCACAGGGGTGAGTAAAGTTGAATGGATATCTGTTCATTTCTCTCAGTGTTTTGACTTCTCAACTTGTCTGAAATTACATAATAAATTATTCGCTTTTAATGGCTCAGAGCGGAGGTTGAAGCATATAAAACACTGGAGCCTGCAGTTCGTGTGGTGATCCTGAAGGCACTATGTGATATTCGTGTTGAGGTATGAAGTCTTATTCTATCACAGTTGATCTTGTGATCTATGGTGGGTGGTCCAAGATGTGTATTGTTTAGTTTAACTATTCATTGATCTTCTTTGAGATCGGCCTGGATATTGTATAGTCATTTCTGTCCTTTATTACCTAGTGATTTTTGCTATAGTATATTGTGAAAATCCACTGTAATGGAATTTTGAATGGGATAATATGACTGGTAAGGCTTCCCTTTTTGTTTGATTTCCTTGTATATCTGTTCTACTACTTTCACAAATCTTCACCTATTGGATGAATTTTTTTTGGTCATTTACAAAGCTTAACTCAAATCTTTACCTCTTTGGTATTTTGCAACAAAGAAATTGGATTCGTTTAAGATCTGGACTTGTTTCCTTTGTCATTTAAATATTCTTTACTCTGGAATTATCCATTGCTAAGTTATTGCTTTGCTAGCTGAAACCTTTTGAAATTTACTTTTTTTTTTCTGGAGAAACAATTTCCCTTGGTAAGAATTCTCATGTTGTTTGTGCGTTTTCTGTACTTGTACATTTAGCATGATTTCACTATCGGGGACTGGACAATAATGCTCTTTTCTGTCTATGGATGATGCATATTTTTTATCACGTTATTGATAGATAACTGACTTGAGTGATATTCTGCAGCAAGAAGACATACGTAACTATATTGAAAGCTCTATTAAGCATGGTGCTCAGCTGCTACTGTTCCGAAAAGAACGCATTGGGGGTGACTCACAGGGGATAAATTACTGGGTAATGGAACTGTAACATTATAAAATTATGAAACTGGAGTGTTCTGATTTATCAATATTGCACAACACATTACAAGTTCTGGATTCAGTTTTTTTCTTTTCTTGTTGAAGGTATGAACCTGATGAACTAGTAGGCCACCGGTTATACCGGGAAATAAGAACAGCAGAAGTGCTGACAAAAGGGAAGACAAAAGGTTCCAAAGTTCTTCCTTCTACAATATACCAGTGGGAAACTGTTGCTACAAATTTCGATGAATTTGTGGATGTTTCTGTAAGTTACTTTACTTATAGTCCCCATCAAATATGTCCTATTTTGAATTCAATGGCATGGTGGTTCTCTTATTTTTGAATCGTGAAACTACACTCCTCCCCTGCTGCTGAAAGGACCTCTTCAAGTTCTTAAAATTTTGAGTATGCAGACAAAAATGGAGGTGTTCATTTCTGAAAAGCGCCGACATCCTTTTATTGTATGCAAAGTTGAAGTTGTGTTGTTGACCAGTCAACTTTATTCATTTTTTTATGCGAATTGACGAGTCCAGATGTATTAATGTCCTCCATTCTTCTGGTAATCATCCTTGTCCTGAAATATTAGCTACAATTATGAGCCTAGAGAGATAGATATTGAAGTAATCTTTCCATCGTTTGTAGGTTTGTGTGGATGTTCAGAAGTGAAATTAGTTTGTGATTATCCTCTTCTCTATGTAATTCGAGGAAGAGGTCTGAATTGTACTTCCATCAATGATAGCTCAATTATACAAAAGGTGTACGACCTTGTGATATTTGGAGAATGGTGACGAGGAAATGTAGCTGCAACTTGCTTCATACTCTCTTTACATCCCCTTATTTGTGGCTTCCTCATTTTGCCCCTGTCTATCCATCATTGCAGGAGAAGCTTTTTACCAGTACAAATAGAACAGAAGTTTCATTAGGGAAGAAGTTGAAAAATGACATGCTCCCTGACATTGAGAAGGTTCAGAAGGTACTTATTGATATATCATCATGGAATGGACTAGTGTAGTACCTCATCTATCGTGCACATCTAACTGATCATCATTTCTATGTGTTCCGACAGAGAAAAGAGGCGGTTGCTGAAGAAGCAACACAGACAAGCTCTACTCCTAGATAACTATATGCATGTGGATGGGCTAGCAGCAGGCCGCTCCCTGCGTGATAGAAAGCCTGTCACTTACACTTTCGGTAAGGGATAAGTTTGTACCAATGAAAGCAATAATTTTTTTTATATGATCCTGGACTTATTGGCAGCTCTGATTCTTTGTTGACGTTGCAGATGACTATGACCGATCAATAAATGAGGCCATCAAAGTAACCAAGTACGAGTTTTCTCCCTGTGTTCCCGGTTGCATTTTTTGTGCATGGGACAACCAACTTAGACTCTAAAATTGCTTTATCCCTTTTATAGGAAGAAACCTTCGTCCCCTGAGCATGATCAGAGAAGAGAAGGTGTGTTCAGACCTGAAGCTTCTGCAAATGGCAGATTGGGAGGTCCATCATATTCGGCAGCAGCTCATCATGGCGGCTCTTTCAGTGCCATGTCTCCCCTTTCATCTGATTATGATTTCATAGATAGTGATCATAATAATAATAAACTGAATAATTTGGATCGAGGGTAATGATAGCTTCTCTTCCGTTGAATATTTCCTTCTACTTTTTCATTAGTATATGTCCTCTGATTTAGCTGTTTTAACAATGTTCTTGCAGCAACAGACGCCGACAGCGGCCACAGCGGTATCAGCAAAAGACTATGTGGAAGCTATCTCAGACAATGAACACGAATTTGATAGTGATGATGATATTGTTGGAGAAGCTGTCTATGATGAGGAATATCTGAGGAAGAGAAAAATGAGGAAGCTCTCAAGTAGCTCTGAAGGAGATGAAGAATACAAGTGGGATGGAGAAAATGGCGAGGAGGAAGAGGAGGAGGAGGAGGAGGATTCCTTGAGGTATTAGTGAGGAGGGGAGCGATGATCCTCATAACAAATTCAAGAAGTTAGCAGCAGGGCGCACTAGGAGAGAGTCCAAGTTGAGGTCGGTCGAGGATCTTCAGTCAGGTTTAAGACGCAGCAAAAGGTCTACAAGAAACCGGATTAATTACAAGCAGTACGAGCCATCGGACTCAGAACCAGAAGCTGCAAAACAACGTGATAACCACTCTGGTGCCAGTGAGAATGGAGAGTTCTCAACTGGAACTCAAGACTATGATGATGGTAATGATGGTAATGAAGAGGTGGAGAATGGTGATGACGATGATGAACAGGATATGAAAGTAGTTGATCAGCAGCCTGTTGAAGGGTACATGGAAGGATACTCTGAAATGACCGTGAAAGAAGAAAGTAAGCCACCTGAGAAATCAAGTAGCCCACCGCTGGCAGGTGGTCAAGATGATGAGATTGATGGGGTAAAGAAAACACAGTTCCTCGATCTAAACGAAATGGCTCCAGGTTCTGGTTTCGACGATGGCCCAAATATACTGATGAAAGATGAAGTAAATGGAGATAATTTTTGAGCTCTCCCCCTTTCCCATATTAGTGTTTATGGATCCCTCCTGAGGAAAGCTCATTGTACGACAGCTGAAAGAGCTCTGTTATAAATTTTGGATTGTCAATCCATGGGTGGAAAAGTCAGGTCAGGGATGAGGAATTGGGTTCTTCCATGGTGTGTAACCTAAGCAAGCTGCCACCTTAATGCAAAGAAATTGCTCATTAGAAGGGGCGGTTTGCAGCAAGGCAAACAACTTGATTGAAGGTGAGAGTCGGTCATATGTAGATTTAGTAGCGAGTTTCTTGTTCTTTCTTTTGTTTTTGGGTTCCCTGGTATTCTACATCAATAGAATAGAAGTGAAAGACCAAGGAGGGATGAGAGAGAATTAGTGGGGGAAGTAGTAAACTTGTCAATCATTGTACAACTATCCCTTAACCCCAGATATTGTAACTTAAAAACAATTTGCCTTCTCCTGCGCTCGGCGGTTGTCGCCGCTCCGCTTGGTCCTCCCGTCCTCGCTTCATCGCCACCGGATTCTCAGGATCATTGCCCATTTCATAACTCTGTGAATGATTGTCTCCTGATGGCTCTCCTCTCTTCTGTGTGATAATGTTATGGCTGTGGTCTCCATCAGATAAAAATGGCGGTTACATGCATATATTAGAAAAAGCTGCAAAAGAAACCTGTATATGCTTGTCCACTCTCTCTCTCCTTAATAAGTAGGGGTGGAAATCGGTACGGTATCGGTATCCCAATACCCAATACCGAAATCCCGAATACCGAATTACACCCTAAAGTCAATCCCAATCCCTAAATAATTTCGGTATCCCAATCGGTACTTCAGTATCCCAATCGGTATTATCGAATACGAAATTAATTACCTTTACAATTAATAATTAAATATATAAATTAGATTTTATTGTTTAATTTAGGGAAAATGACTAAGCAAAGAGTGTTGAATTAGGATATTATAAACGAGAATGGAGGAGAGGAGACATCTTAAGTTCTTGTCATTGGTAATCTTTAATTTGATAAATTGGACGTTGAGAGACGGCTATTAATAGTGATGGAATGATCTGTATAATTAAATGACACTCTTGGTGGTTGAGGGTCATGTAGTAGTGAATGAGAGAGTCTAGTTGAGAGGATAAAATATACACTAGCTTATATTTCGGTATTGATCAGTATTTCGGTATATACCGATCACAATCCCGTAATCCCTAATACCGAATAACATTGAAATTCAATCCCAATCCCAATCCCAAGAAATAATAAATATAGACAAATTCGGTACGGTATTCGGTAGTATCCCAAATACCGGTACCAAACTTCCAGCCCTAAGAGCAAGGATCACGTTTCTCCACATAGTTCATAAAGAACACACTGAGCCTCTCTCCTCCGCAAGCCGACAACAACTGATCTGTAAAATTCAACTGTCCATGACGAAGTTCTAGGTTTAGTGTAGAAATGTAGTCGAGAATCACAGAGGTAGCAAGCTGCTACTCTGCTCTTTTATACCAGTTTTGTAATTAGGATTATAGTTGATTGCCATGTATTACACTTATGTTGGCCGTGTTTAAACACTAACAATAATCTTTAACGACTAATCTACTTGTAAACAAAATGGTGCGTTGCACCACTATCAGTTTAGCCTTCACTTTATGAAACGCCTTGCATACAGAAATGTTTATTCATCAGTTGGAATGCATTCGAACCTTCTTCTCCTGCAATCCTTTTTCAGTTCGGATTCTCCTGAGTTCATAACTCTGTCACCCTCCCTCAAGTTGTAGATGGCAGGATGACTCCCAACTTGACCAGCAAATCCTTGAGGCGTGCCTGCTCCAATCCCTTTGTGAAGATATCTGCAAGCCGATTCACTGTATTCACATGTTGCAATCTGTCCAACCCAGTTTTAATCCTTTCCCTTGTCACACGAATGTCAATTTGTATGTGTTTGGTTCTTTCGTGGAAAACAGGGTTCTCAACAATGTGTATGGCTGACCTGTTATCACATAAGATTGTGATTGCAAGGGGAACTTCCTAAGAAAGTACAGTATCCAGTAGTTGATCTTCTTGTGTCTGGACAACTTGCCTAGTCTGAGTCACAAAACCCTGTGAATTTCAGTTCTGCTCCACAGTCAAAGTGAATCCCTTGCCCTGGTCTATTCTTCAAGTATCTTAGGACTCTATGAGCTGCTTGTAGGTGCTCCTCGTGAGGTTTCTTCTGAAATTGGCACAATTGCTGGACAACAAAGGCAAAATCTGGTCTTGTAATGGTGACATAGTGTAGCCTTCCACCAATCTTATATACTGCTCAGAAGTCAGAATCAGATAGTGGAGTTCCCTTAGTTGAAAACAGCTTCACCTTGGGGTCAATTGGGGTTTGGTACCCTTTAGACTCCAGATAACATGTTTCCTTTAGCAATTCAAGACAATACTTTCTTTGGCAGACACTTATCCCACTTGATGTCCTGTTAATTTCCATCCCGGAAAATACTTCAAAGGGCCAAGTATTTTCATTTTAAACTCTTGACTTAGACCCTTCTTACATGTTCTATGTCCTTCAAGGCATCTCCTCCTATTATGATGTCATCCACATATTGAGTAACACCACAATTCTGCCACGAATCCACTTAGTAAACAAGGAATAGTCAGAGGCAGATTGACTAAACCCATTCTTCAGAAGAAAACTACTTAGCCTGACAAACCATTGCCTGGATGCTTGTTACAAGCCATACAAGGATTTTTAAGTCTGCAGACCATCTTCTGTGATCCACTCTGTTCCAAATCCAATCCTGGTGGCAACTACATATAAACCTCCTCATTCAAGTCTCCATGGAGGAAAGCATTTGAGACATCCATTTGTTCTAGGTTCCGATTCTTTACTACTGCAATTGCCAGTAGGGCCTTAACTGAGTTGATTTTGGCCACAAGAGAGAAAGTGTCTAGGAAGTCAATTCCAAAGACCTGTGTGTATCGTTTTGCTACCAGCCTGGATTTGAACCTTTCAATGGATCCATCTTGCTTCAATTTGATCTTATATACCCATTTGTTACCTATCACCTTCTTTCCTTCAGGTAAAGGGACTATATCCCAGGTCTGATTTTCTTCAAGTGAGTCCCACTCCTCTCTCATAGCCTTTCTCCAATGCTCATGCTTGATGGCCTCTTGATAGGTAAGTGGTTCCTCATGTTGGATAACACTTAGAGCATATATCTTGTCAGCAGCATTCAGATGGTCCACATTTAATGCAATGGGATACCTACTGACAGATGCACTAATACCAAAAGCTCCAAACCTCAAGGCAAGATCTAATTCACAGTCATCATATTTACTTGGAAAATGATAACTCATTTTAGGTCTTCCTGGTGTTTCATAGTCCTGTTGAGGTTCCAGTTCTGGATCAAACTCAACCATGTCTTGCACTTCAGTATCAATCCCTACATCCCCCTCATCAACTGAGACTAGTACAGTAGATAGTTGAGGTTGAGAATTAGAAGTTCTAGGAATGGTTAGATCAGGATCTATAGGAGGAGGGTTTTAACTGTCTGGAGAAGAGGTGGTGAGGTGGAAGCCTCAGTTTGGTAAGGGAGAATGGATTCGTAAAAGACAACATCTCTAGATACCAAAACTTGCTGAGTATTGATATCCAAGAGCTTGTAACCCTTGATCCCTGGAGGTATACCTAACAGAATGTAAGATGCAGTACTCCAAAACTCTAAGGGAATCCCAGATTGAAATCTCAATGACCTGACCACATTTAATATATGCTGGTGTTTTCTTTGTACTCTAGCATTCTGTTCTGGAGTATAGGCACAAGACATTTGATGTTCAATCCTTCAGACATAAAGAAATCACACATGTTGAACTTCTTTCCCTGGTCACTTCGAATTGTTTGAACTGTGGTACTAAACTGATTCTTAACCAATGTGCAAAACCCTTAAGAAGCTCCCTGGTTTCACTTTTGTAATGCATCAAATACACCCAAATAGCTCTCGAAAATCATCAACAATTATAAGGAAGAAAGTATATCCATCATAAGACATAACAGACAGTGGTCCCCAAATGTCAACATGAACAAGCTGAAATGGCCTATCTGCATTGGTAGTACTAACTGGAAATGGTAGACTTTTGTGTTTAGAAAATAGCAAACTTTACAATGATCAAATTTAGAGTGGGGGTACAGTAGAATCAATGTGTTGTAACAAACTAAGTCTATCATTGCTAGGGTTTCATAATCTACAGTGCCACAGGTCTACTTGTTGAGGGTGAAAGTTGAAAGCACTGGCAGCTTGGCTTTGGCTTGTAGTTGGTTGATTTGGTGGCTGATTTGTGAAGGTAAGATGGTAGAGGCCCTTAAATTATTTTGCTAAACCAATCGTCCTTTTGTTTAGAAGGTCCTGGATATGGCAAAGGTTAGAGTGAAAGTGTAAGGATATTGGGAAATAATGTGCGAGTCTGCTTACTGACACAAGGTTAAAGGAGAAGCTAGGTACTATAAGTACATTGTATAGGTATAGGCCAAATGGTAACCTCACAGTACCTATATGGTACTATAACTTTTGCAGAATTTAGTAGATGCACAAAAACGTCATGTACTTGTCTATGTCCAGTAAACAGATCTATAGAACACGCAATGTGGTTGATGCTCCAGTGTCTAGAATCCACAAGCTAGCAGGTTTATAGGATTAATGTCTATGGCTGAAGACAAGACATATTTACCTGAACAGTTTGGAAATGGAGGCAAGTATTGTGAGACAGAATAAGCTTGGTGTTGAATTGAAGGTGAGTTTGGAGGTGATGGTGACGTGGTGTGATTTGTAGGGGCTAGATTGTTAGCACCATAATGCAGCAAGTATCTCAACTTGTTCATTTCTTTTGGAGTGAAACCAAGAGAAGAATGACTTACCCCACTATTGTCATTGTGATAACTGACCTCTTATGGAGATTCACTTCCACTGGAGTTGCCCTGAGATACTGAGCCTACAAAAGACGGTGAGATCGATGGCCGAGTGGCTTGTCGCTCATGGTAAAATCAGTAGGGAACAAGGCCTTGGTTGGATTAGACCTATGCTGGCTGAGCAGTAAGCATGGCCTTGGCCGTTCCTGGTGTGTTGCAAGGTCGGACGCCGTTGATTTCTCGCAGACGGAGCCGGGGGTACTTCATGGATTGCGGCGTGTCGTACTCTTGCCCGGGGGGGGGGGGGTGGTTTCTTTCTTTCTCCTTTTTTTCTTCTTCAGGGGATCTGTGTTCGTCTTTGGTTAAGCAATTCTCACCTCTCGCCTAACTTTTGGTTTTGCAGGCCTACGAAGAAACAGGGGCCTTCTGGCGGGCCTAGTTTCCTTGGTAGGTTTGGTTTGGTCCGCACTTCTTGTGCTTTCTTGTACCAGGAACCTTTTTTGCTTTAGTTTTAATTCAATCTATCACCTTTATAAAAAAAAATTGTGTGATCCAGTCTGTGGTCCACCTCCCTGCTCCAGTTCCTTACTCTTCCTCTTATAGGTCCAACATTCCTCAATTTTATGATTATTCTTTTTGCAGAACTTGTAGTACTTTTTGCCTTTCTCTCTCTCATTACTGTCTAAGGTCTTG